CCCGCCCCCTGCTGGGCGAGGGCCCTGCCAACCAGAAGGGCTAGCTGCTGGCAGCCCTGGGGCACTTGGCGCAGACTCTGGGCCGGGCCCGGAAACGGGCCGAGGCTACTGAGGTGCGAGATCGCCTCCGGGCCCGACCCTGCTGGGCGAGGGCCCTGCCAACCAGAAGGGCTACACGTTGGCAGCCCTGGGGCACTTGGCGCAGACTCTGGGCCGGGCCCGGAAACGGGCCGAGGCTACTGAGGTGCGAGATCGCCTCTACCGGGCCCGAAAGAAGTGCCAGTTCCTGATGGCTTGGACCAACGAGAATGAGGTGGCCCTCCCAGCCCTGGCTCTGGACTGTGCCAGGGCCCACCGAGCTCACGCTGTAGCCGCGGAAGAGGTGGCAGCCCTCACTGGGGAGCTGGAGCGGCTTTGGGGAGGTCCCCTACCACCTGCCCCGAGGACACTCATTGAGGAACTCCCTGGCTGAACTGTGGGCTCCTTGTCATCAATAAACCTGTGAATGGTCTGACCTGTTGGGAGTGCCCATTTCTGAGAGATGGCTGTTGTGCCCACCCACCCGCAGATTCTTGGGCCCGCAAACCTCTCAGCCTCTCCCTAATCAGGGCTGACCCAGCCAAGATTTAAACACCCCTGTCCCAGAAAGGGAGAGAAGTGGTACCAAGGGTTCCAGATGTTTATCCAAGAAGGAAGAGCAACCTCCACTCCATTTTTGGGTACTGCCTTCATTTTCTCCTTGCTCTGAGGCTGTCATCCCTGCCTGTTGGGGCTCGGCAGGACTGAGTGCAGGCTTTTGAGTCCTAGACGTCCAGGCTCCTGCTGCAGGGTGTGCTGGCAGATGGGTGGGTACAGGCCTCAACCTTGGGTAGGTGGAGCCACTTCAGTAGATGTAAGGCACAATTCGGTAGGGCACACGGCGGCAATATTCACGCCAGGCCAGGCCGTACTTTTGCAGGCACTGCTGCTCGTCCCGGGCCTCACGGTGCACCAGCAGCGCAGTGAAGTAGAGGAGGTAGAAGTAAGGCAGCAGGTGGGACACCCCTGTGGGGAAGGGGGCTCTGTGACCACTCAGCCAGACCCCCAGTTCACAGAGGTTTCCATACCTAATAGCTCATGGGCATCAGGGCTCAATAGTGAAAGGTCCCGGGTCTGCAGCAAGGTGCCAACAGTGCTGTCTGTCCCAGTCACATCCTGAGTCCATCTCCAGCCCCCTGACTACTCCCTCCACTAAGGCACACCCCTATTCATTCTACACCCAGACTGGGTATCCTGTGGTTTCTAATCCATCTGCCCCCACACACATGCAATACCTACCCAAGCTACTCACCACAGGGCAAGGACCAGGCCAGAGCCATAATGAGGTCTCCCAGATAGTTGGGATGGCGGACCATACCCCACCACCCAGACACTAGCAGCTGCCTCCCCGTGGCTGTAGAGATGGTCTCAAGGCCTGGGGGAAGACAGGTAGTGGGATGGGTGACCCCCAGGAAGCCCAGCTGCCCCACCTCACTCATGGCAACCTAGAAACACAGCTCACCGGCCACACTGGGGTCGGAAGGGTTCTTTCGGAAGGTGTTTTTCTGGGAATTGGCTCCACGGAAGATGTAGTAACCAACAGCTGAGGGAAAGCATGAGCAGGCAGTCAGGGTTGAGGGCCACAGGCTTCTGCCTGACCCTGATCATCCCCACACAGCCTAAACCCAGTCTGCCTGGACCCCAGGACCCAGCCCCCAGCTTTAGAGAAGAGCATGATGCTTAGCACCTACCTAGTGGGTGCTGAATAAACAATGAATGAGACCAGCTGGCGTGGTTCAGTGGTTGAGTGTCAACCTATGAACCAGGAGGTCACAGTTCCATTCCTGGTCAGGGCACATGCACAGGTTGTGGACTCTATCCCCAGTGTGGGCGTGCAGGAGGCAGCCAATCAATGATTCTCTCTCATCATTGATGTTTCTATCTATCTCTCCCTCTCCTTGCCTCTCTGAATCAATAAAGACCCAGCCCCCAGCTTTAGAGAAGAGCATGATGCTTAGCACCTACCTAGTGGGTGCTGAATAAACAATGAATGAGACCAGCTGGCATGGTTCAGTGGTTGAGTGTCAACCTATGAACCAGGAGGTCACAGTTCCATTCCTGGTCAGGGCACATGCACAGGTTGTGGACTCTATCCCCAGTGTGGGCGTGCAGGAGGCAGCCAATCAATGATTCTCTCTCATCATTGATGTTTCTATCTATCTCTCCCTCTCCTTGCCTCTCTGAAATCAATAAAAATATATAAAACATAAGAAAGGGGAGGGAGAATGATGCATGCCCCCAGGCTGCTGCCCGTTCCTGACTGACCATTGACAAGGCAGATGACTGAGGCCGTGGGTAACTCCAGGGGCTGTGGGTGGTACAGCAGGAACTGGGCCTGCAGGCTGTAGGTGAAGGGTACCCAGGCTAGGTCCCCAAAGGCCAGCATGAAGCCAAACCCGTCGTGTGTGATGTCCATGGTGGTGAGTACAGCTTCCTGCAGGGACAGGACCCAGACGCACTTGTAGTCCCTACAAGGTCCTCAGGCAGTTTCCCCTGCTTCCCCTGAGCAGTCCAAGCTCACCTCGTGCCAGAGGGCATCACCCACATAGAGTAACTGGAAGCCATTGACCAGCCACATGGCCAGGGAGGGACTCCCCCGAAGTTCTGCTTCCTGTACCAGCAGAGCCAGGTTGATGAGGACCTGGGGGTTGGGAGGAGACAGCACAGTCTGTCCGTAGCCCATCTCCACTGAGTGGGCAGCACCCAGGTAGGGCAGAGGCCAGCTTCTCCCCATCTAAGTGTCAGCCACTAACTCTCTAGCTCTTTGTCAAATGAACCCAGCCCGTTCCCAGAGAGCCTGCAATGGAGGCGTTTCCAGCTGTTTTCTCTCGCCTTTTCCTGTAGTGTTGTTCCCTTTGGGAGAGCAGCATGGGGCGTAGGCGGGTGCTGCAGGCTTGAGAGTTAAAACAGACCTGGTTTTGAATTAGCTTCCCCACTTGGGCAAGTTGCTTACCCTCTCTAAAACCCTCCTTCCCCACCCTCATGGTGGAAATGGAGATAATTACGGACCTGCCCTTAGAATTGCCTGAGGACGCATGGGAGTGACACACAGTAAGTGCTCAAAGATGGTGGCTAGCAGTCAGCCTGTAGTGAGCACCCCCATCTGGCAGCAGTGGGCTAGGTGCTATTACCCCTTCTAATCCTCATAATAATCTTAGGAAGAAGCTCTTTATCCCGTTTCATACATCAGGACACAACCTGGCACTTGGCATTCCTCCTGCCTCTGGGTGAGGGTTCCAGGGTGACATGAGGAACCTTTGGGAAACCCTGACCACAGTCCAGCACTGACTATAACCAAGAAACACAGTTGGTATGTCAGTCAAAGACACCAGTGATGGACAGGTTGCTAAACTCTGCTCAGATCTAAGTTCTGCACTACTTTGACTAGCAAGCAGCATAGGACCACTCTCCCTTCTTGAAATATATTTGTGCACTAGACTGCTTCATTTAAAATTGCACCTCGCCCTGGCTGGGTGGCTCAGGTGGTTGAAGCATTGTCCAAAAAGTTTGGATTTTGATTCCCAGTCAGTGCAGTTTCCATCCCTGGTCGGGGCGCATGTGGGAGGCAACAGATCAATGTTTCTTTCTCACATCAGTATTTCTCTCTCTAAAAATCAATAGAAACATAGCCTTGGTGAGGATTTAAAAAAATTGCACCTCTTCTTTCCTGACTTGCTTTTCTCCATGGTACGCAGCATCCCTTGACATGCTATATGTACTTTTTTTTGGTCTGTCTTTCCCATTAGAATGTAGGTTCCACGAGGACAGTTTTTTTTCCTGTAATTTTTTCTTATATCCCAGCACCTACAGTATTTCCTAGGACACATACAGTGGGGCCTTGACTTATGAGTTTAATTTGTTCCGTGACGGAGCTCGTAACTCAAATTACTCGTATGTCAAATCAAAAAGTGAACGAGTGAGATACGTGATGCTGGGCTGATGTTGTGGCATTCACTGTGACGTTCGCTGCGCCAACCAGCGCTGGGGTATCTGAAGCTGGCTCGCAACTCAAAACAAAAAATCGGCCAAGAGACGGCTCGTATCTCGAAAAAACTCGTTAGTCAGGACACTCGTAAGTCAAGGCCCCACTGTATTAGATTCAACAAATATTTGTGGAATGAATGAATGATGTCTGGGCAATACTGCACCTGTCCTGCCCAGGAACTGCTCACCCGCCCCACCCCTCCTGCTGGCGCAAGTCCCACTGAGCCATGCCCAGCATACCCAGCCGATGAGGCCAGGCCGCAGTTCGCAGAAGTATTTGCAGTCAAAGGAACCGAAGCGCGGGTTGAGCTCCCGTCCCAAGAAAAAGTCGTAAACGGGATTGCCTGGAGAACAATGGAGAGTGAGGCTGCAAGCTAGCACCCCTGTCTGCCTCCATCTGTCCCCACTGGAGCCCCTCTCACCTGAGTTCCCTCCAGGTGCCAGGGCGGAGGCAGGGGCCATTAGCGCCTTCAGATAGAGGAGGAGGCTGAAGATGAAGGCGGTGAGGGTGGCCACCCACGCCAAGGGCAGGAGCATTTCCGTGAGCATTCCCAGGGGCAGCCCGGCCGACACCCCCAGGCCCACCAGCAGGGCTGTCAGCACCAGGGCCTGGAAGCCTGAACCCCAGCACAGGGTGAGTCCTGGGGACTAGCCCCCCATCACCACCACCCCCAAACACTGCTCTAAGCCAAGAGGTCACAGACCTCGACCCAAGCCATTTGGCTGACACCTTAGCTTTTAGGTCACGTCAGCGGCTGCTGTGGCGAGAGCAGCAGCAAATGCGGCAGAAAAGGGTGGAGGGCAGGATGGGCAGGAGAGTGGGACCCCAGGACTGTCCTGGGCGGCGCAGGCACCAGAGCCCGGGTCGG